TCCCGAAGCTTTTAAAATTATCAACAGGTACTCTAATGAATTATTTGTGTAATTCTACTTATTACTGAATCGATATTGAAGCATTTAAATCAATATCGAATCGAAATCAAATCGAATTGTGACACAAAGAATCAAAATCGAATCGAATCCCAGTCCTAGTTTTGGCCCTACGACCTTTTAACCATTTTGGGAATCTGTTGATACTTTATCCTGTGCATGCATCATGATAAATTGATACATTGAGGTCTACCTGAGCAGGAGGTCCGCTGATGGTCCAGCTGCAGTCCACAGCTGTCTGGTTGAGGGCCCGGGCTTTGAGGAGGGGCCGGTCTGGCTGGGTGCCGGCAGTCTGATGATGGGACAGGGCGGTGGGACTGTCTCCTATACTGGTGTGAGCCCACACAGCCACCTCATACACTGTCCCCGCTGTCATGTTTGTAGCTGGAAACAGGCGGCACACGTTCATTTCATTTGCAGATAAACAAATGTGTGTAATGCTTGATTAAAATTCACCTGGATGAAGAATCCTACACTAACAGTACCTTTGAGGATCCCCTCTCGGACTGTGTAGTTCTTGTTCTCCTTGACATGAGTGTCAAACTGCCAGGACAGAATCACTATGTACTGTTTCACCTTAAAGAAACATAAGCGTGAACATCAGTCGTGTTTACACAGACACAGACAGGCACAAGATTGTGAGTTAACACACTGAAGAGGTGTTTCCGAGAGAAGTTCTCACCTCGTACTGGGAGTTGAAGCTGAATGAAAGGCTCATGGAGTCGGCGGTAATGCTGTCAGCGATCACAGAGGGAGGAGGCAGAGCTGCAGCAGAGACAGAGCAGGTCAAAGTGGAAGTTAATGCTTTATTTTAATTGTGTGTTTGTTTTATTTCCGATGGATTCAGACAAAGATACACTTAATATCTGTATTAATGAAGGGAGCAACAGAGTGGATCCTCTGATGGATCTGAATGTACATTACACTGAAGGGACCGCAATGACAATTTAGTTCTTCCACCTTTTTTTCCCATGTCTAATAATTACTAGCTTTACTTTGAAAATGTATAATAGCACACTTCCTGCTAATGAGAACCTAAGCTAAAATGTTGATTAATTATGGTTTTATTTTATTTAATTTTATATGTCTTTAGTGGATAGTGACAGCCAAAGGTAGCCAGGAAAGGGAGAGAGACAGAGATGGCTGGAATTGAACCCGAGTGGTTTTCAAGGTGTTTCTGATGAATGAGACAAAGAAATCCTTAATACAATTAAACATCTGCATCCCCTAAAGGACAGACAGGGGAGACAAACTATCTCATATACAGCATTCACATTACAAACACTGGTGTAACTGCGCACCTGAAATACCTACTAAACACCAGTGGCAGTGTTAGAAAGGTTTTCCAAATCAGAGTGTGTGTGTTTGTGTGAGACACTGTTGGGGAGAGCAGCTCACCTTTCTTAGGGGTAATGGATTTAACCTCAGTCCAGTTGCCCACGCCTCGGCTTGTCACCGCTGCCACCTGGGAGACAGCATCACAGCTATGTTTAAACACACTGTACTGCACATGAGACTATCACAATGTTAAAGTGGAGTGGTACAAGGAAGTCTGTGTGTGTGTGTGTGTGTGTGTGTCTTACCCTGAACCTGTACTGAGTGTCTGGCTGCAGCCCTTTCACCTCAGTCTTGGTGGTGGTGCACCTCTGTGACGTCCAATCAAGACCTCCTCGCTCGCTGTACTCAACCTGACATCACACACACACACACAGATGTGTGAGACATACGGTAGTTTACAGCAGATGCAGAACCCATGAGCTTGTTACACAGTGTGACAAAACAGCTGTGTGTAACACATCATTGTCAAATGAAATGTGATATGTGGAATTATTATCAAACAAGAGAGAGTGTGTTGTTTACTAAAGGAGGATAAACATGCAGAGAGTGGCGTTTCTCATGGCAACTTAATAGTGAAGTCAAATGAATCGGTGCCACGCAGATGAAAAGGACTCACAATGTACTCTCGGATGAGGCCGTGTCCTTTGTCGGGAGGGGTCCAGGAAACTTCCACTGTCCCGTCTTTACCGTTATCACAAGACAGCTGCAGGTTCCTGGGCGGGTCGGGCACTGCAGGATACACAGAAAGACACGCAGTCATCAACCAGAGTGAAAACATGTCTACTGTCTATTGGATGAGAACTATATGTGTCACTGAACACACCCAAACTTCAATACAATATTTAATAGTCAACACATTTCAGCTCAGATTAACACTTTTCTACACTTCTATACTCTGTGCTTATGGACAACTGATACTGACATGTCCATTTCTGATGCTGTCTTCTCATAATGTGGATTCAGAAAAACAATATTAATATTTATCAACTACAGTAGTTAATTTAGGAGGACTGCCCCTCTGGCGAAACGTATCCCTCCTTTGAGCGGCTCGGTTGTGGTTGTAAATTTGGAAACACACTGTTTTGCATCCAAGAAGAAAACAAAATGTTTTGTTGGGTGGTAATAGGAACTTGTACACATTTATTTCAATAAAGACTGAAAAACATGTGAACCATGTTGTGGTTCCCATAAAATACTCACGTCCCTCTGGCGTCCTCACTGTGATCACCTCATTGCTCTTATGCAGCTTGCTGAGACACTGAGTGAGCACCTTGACATGGTACGTGGTGTCTGGTTTCAGCACATTCAGTTTGTAGCTGGTCTTGTTGCTGTGAGTGTCCATGATGGTCCACTGCTGGGTGCCCACGAGCCTGAAGACAGAAACACAACATCAGCAAAAATGTTTCATTGTTATTAACAACAATAATAATAATAATATTAATGAACTTGCACATTGCAGTAGTAGTAAATGCCTCCTGCATCATTCAGTTGGTGCAAAGATGCTGGCTCACCTGTAGTATATAAGGAAGTAGCAGGAGTCCAGAGGAAGGTTTTTGGGGCGAGACCAGGTCAGAGTGATGGCACCCAGGAAGTCTGGGGTCCACTGGAGGTTCTGGACTTTATAGGCCAATGTGTCCACTAGGCAAATGGGGGAAAGATGCATTATAATGTTTGGGATGCTCAGTTGAATTTTAATTTAAACACACACAGCCTGAAATGAATGCTAGTAGCCAGCAGGTGGCAGCATTGCACTGCTTTCAAAATACTCGAGTAGCTCTGACAATGGAGCTCACCCTGAGTGGTTCACGTTGCTTTTGAAGGCTAATTCTAACAACCTGCATGTAATCTAAACACATGTGGTCATGGTGAGAGTATCTGGGACCTACGGGTGCAGTTGTCCTCGTCGCTGTGGTCGGAGCAGTCCAGGAAGCCATCACACCTTTCACCGTCCAGCACACAGGCCTCACCGTCAGAGCAGCGAGTCCCGTTAATGCAGAACAGAGGCCCACGAGTGGCTGGACAAAGAGAAAAGGGTTTTATTCACTGTTCTTGTTATTGGAATATCTGCATATGAATACAGGGTCTCTGCAGCTGTCAACAGGTTACATTTAAGACTTTTTATTATGAATGCAACTAAAGATCTATTTTACATCGTTTAGTGACAAAAATGTACAAAGGATATGAAGGAACACGGTATTGGTCCCATGTTGGTTTTTTCTGTTAGCATGATCAATAGAAATTTTTCACAAATACAATTTTTTTTTCTTTGTATGCGTTATGTGATTGCAGGTGTTCAGCAGTGGTTCCCAACTTGGGGGTCCGGGCTTCTTGATTTTAAGGTGATAGAAAACTTAAAAAAATATACACAGTAGGCCTATATCTCAAATTCTGGTTCAATTCTGTGAAGAAAAGTAAATGTAAAATAAAGGAAATCATCAAATAGAACAATGTCTGGGACAAGAAAACACTGAATTTCTCAAAAAGAAGCCTATTAAGGTTGTATGATTGTTAAAAATGATACAAAATAGATAATACAGGAAATGCCTGAAATTCATTCAAAGTGATTACTTGTTTTACACCAACTTCTTGTAGTTACTGACTTCACTGTTTGGGTTATTGTACAGTTTGGAATATAATATGAAATATCCATAAAATATGTCATTTAAGCAGGGGTCATCAGTTTAGTAAATGATAAAAAAGGGGTGCATTGAGGACAAAGGTTGGGAACCACTGGTGTATAATATGCGGAGACTCACGGCAGTGGGCTTCATCAGAGCCGTCCTGGCAGTGGAGCTGGCCATCGCAGCGCTGCCAGTCCGGAATGCAGAGTGGGGGTCGGCGACACAGGAACTGACCCCGACTGCAGCGGCCAGGAGAGGGCAGGGGAGGAAGGGCCTGGGTGGGTACTGGAGCCAGCGTCACAGAGCCATTAGCTGCTGCCACAGAAACACAGAATGTTACAGTGGGCATTCACATTTGTGTTACTTTATTGGTGTTATTCTTATTTTCTTTTTAACTGTATATTTTATTGAGGTTTGTTCAGTTTGCTCAACTACATTTTAAATCTCCTTGTTGCACATAAGTCATGAACCTCAACCGATCAACAGACACAGTGTGTACCTGTGGGGCATCCCAGCTCATCGCTGCCGTCGGGACAGTCAGCGTAGCCGTCACACACCCAGGTGTTGATGATACAAGCTCCAGATCCACAGTGGAAGCGGTTGGGGGCACAAGACGAGGGACCAGGGGCTACAGTGTGAGGAGTAACACCACCTACAAGGATGGAGATTCAAGTTTAAGAAGAGTTTGGTCATTTCAAAATATAAACAAAATAGAGAGCTAAACAACTCATTTAAGATGCGACTATACATAGGTCACTTATGTCTTTTAACCATTTTCAAAATGTGGTTGTCCTTTCAACATAGATTAGCCTAGCATATAGC